AAAGGCCGTGGATTATAATTGCAATAAGGACCTCCCCTCCCCCCGCCAATCCCACAAAGCGGCGTTTACTGCTGCGCCGATGGCTGCAAATCAACTGACTCTGCAATAAACGGTTGGTCCACTTTATAACTTTGAGGAAATAAAATGAAGCCATCCCTATTAATGACTCTTTAAAAAGGTTAAGTCGTGAAAACTATTGCCAATCTACTCAATTGTCTCCGTTCGGTCGATGATATAGCTTCTATTGGCCCATTCCAATAGTTCTTTATTCAGCTCCTTCGTCCAGCAGGGAATGGGGGGGAGGAGAGAGAGAGAGAGGGGAGGGAGCTAAATTGTTTTTTTCTTATACTTATACGAAGGGAAAATGGTACAGAGTATCCAGCGAATATAAATGTACAAAACCCGGCATTTGTCATGTAAGAAAAAACTACGAAACGTGCGCATATTTTTCAATAATTCATTAAAAAAATTAACGTTCCTTTTCCAATACTATGGATGATTTTAAGATAAAATTTGATTAGCTTTGAAAAATTTATATAAATAAATATACAAAAACAAATACACATTCGAGAGCAATTATTTTATTTTATTGTTGTTCGTCAGTAACTTAAAAAAAAAAAGAAATATAAAAAAGTTATATTTATTACTGTGCCCTTTATTAAAAGAACCGATTAAAGAGGAATTTGAAGTAGCTATCGGAAAAATAAAATTTTATAAAGCAGCGAAAACTGATAATATTCCAAGTGAATTAATTAAATCACAAGGAAAAGTTGGAGTTTTAAAAATATCTTTGTCGGTTAAAAAGATCTGGGAGAATGAGACATTGCCTGAAGAATGGAAAGAATTTATGCTTATTCCGATTTCATTTAACTATTGATCAAATATTTTCTTTACGGCAAATATAAGAGAAACAAACGTTGTTGTTCATCGAATTCAAAAAGTTTATGATTCTATTAACCACCACAAGCTGTACAATATTTAAATTGAGCCGGGAATTCCAAAGAAATAGTAAATCTAGTTAGTATGTAGTATGTCCAGGTAATATATACCAAAAAAGGTTTGTTCTGGATGAAATAATATACATCCTTGGGTATGCTGATGATTTGGTCTTGTTGAGCGAAAACATGGAAACTATAAAATTAAATACGACAACGTTAATGAAAGCCGGTAAAGAACAGGGGCTCGAAATAAATACGGAAAATACAAAATATATTGTTAGCAGAAAAAATGGGATTAATTTCGGTGTCATAGATATTGAAGGAAATGTGTTTAAACACGTAGAAGTTTAGGCATTTAGGGTCAACGATAACAAGTAAAACTAAATTAAAGAGGAAGTAAGCTAGTTTAAAAGGAGGAAATGCCAGCTATTTTTCAGTTACGAAACTACTTAGCTCCCGGCTGTTGTCCCGAAACTTAAAAATCAGAATTTACATAACTATCATCCTTCCTACGGTTCTTTATGGATGTGAAACGTGGACGTTTACATTAAGGGATGAGCAACGTCTTAAGGTTTTTAAAAATATAGTATTGTGTAGAACATTCGGACCGAAAAAGAATGAGTCAACCGGAGAATTTAGACGGTTCCACAACGCGAAATGTACTCGGTTAATATAATTGAGATGATTATGTTGAAGCAGAAAAAATCACTGGGCTTGGTAAAGTAAGAATACTTAAAAAGTGAATATGCTCTTTACCGAATGATAAACGTCCGAGTGGTAGACCGAAGCGAAAGTCTGGCGGAATTGAATACAGATGGCGCAGGAAGGATGGAAGAATGTAGACATCGACTGGTAGTATCGGCGTCGAATCTTCGGGTTAGCTAAGGCTTAATATATTCACTAACTTACAAAAATAAATAATTTATAATTATTATTATTTTTAAGCAAGTCTATTTTTTTCCAATGAGTTTTATATTTAAATTGAGTTAGTTTTTCTCAGGTTTGGAAGTTTCTTGTTTTACTGGTATAAGTCAGCAAACATAATTTCCTTATATTTCATTTTTTTTTTAGGCGATGTGTCCTTTGTGTTTGTGAATATCGTAAATCGAAATTTTTTACATAAATTTTGGATGTTATTTAATTAATGAGATGTACTTAGGCGTATGAAAATGAATTTAACTTAATGATCCAATGAATTTAATTTAATTTAATGATACAAATTTAACAACATGTGTGACACATATAATATCGAATAATAATAATGTTATTAACATAAAAACCGTCCAAGCATTAATATAAATTTCTAGGCTCACTTGTCACAACTTTGACACAGCTTTAAAAAATAATTTTAGCTAAAATGTCATTTAAAAGGACGGAAGAAAAGACAGCAAAAATCAAGATGCTAAAATATCGATAAAGTAATTCTTTTTTCCTTTCCTAAAAAACTCGAAATTAGAAAAATAATGAGCTTGTAACACTAATCAATTCCTAAATAACGAACGCCTTTGTTATACCTATGACAAAATGTTATGTTATTGTAGTAGTGTTTATAAATAAATAATGGAGTAAATATATAATTATATCCAGACGAGCGTGTTTATATATTACTAATTACTACGTGTTTATTCAGTGAGAGAACCGCCAAGAGCTAATTGACCTCGAATACAGTTTCCCGGAAATATTTCTTCCTGTTGCATTCTTCTCCTGTCGGTCGAAACCAGCTTTCACTCAGTTCTTGTTTTTGTTTTTTTACACGTTAAATATAAAATACTTCAGCCGTAATTTTTAATTATTAAATTACACAGAATATTATGAGGAGTTATATTTCACTAGTACTAAATTAGAACTGTGTAAGTAGTATTTTAAAATACAAATACAGAATACTTACTCCTCATGAAATGACGCTTTACAACTAAGTAATACCTTTATAAAAAAGGTTTATTTTTGCGGAGATGTGATAAATTGATTCCAACAACCAAAAGACTGTTAAAATTCAATGGACCGAATAATGGAGACTGCTGTCGACAATTAAGACTGTTTGTGTTGCCCTATAGGTTAAATAAACATCCTGCATGGGTGAACAGGAAATATTTAACAGATCCCGCATATCCGAAGTGATCCAGCAAGAAATCATATAAAAAAAGTCCTTTCTCATTCTCCATATTCACATGATTTAGTGCCATTGGATAACCACATTTTTCGGTCGCTATATCACTTACTCTGTGAGCCAGTGAATCGCCGATTTCAACCAATTTTTTTTTTCCGTGAAGCTACATAGAAAATATTGGACACATATCACGGTGTTCCTTACAATGGGTCATAGAATCGAGAAAAAAATATTTAATGTAATTTCAAACAAAATATATATTTATCAACTTTATTTCTCAATAAAAAATTATTAATCTCACGTTGCTGGTTCGGAAAATCCAAATTGTGCGCATACTGTAGCCATCTGCGAAATATAATATTTATTAAAAACAGGTTTGGTATCTAGAGTGAATAAATATTTTTTTAGGGAGAAACAATGTTGATTCGTTTTTCGTACCCCCAAAAAAACCTGAAATAGGAATTTTTACAGCAATCGAAAAATTAAAAAATCGAAATTTTTTCCTTCGAAATTATGACGCCAACCACAAAAATTGTTATAACTTTAGAATGGCTCCACCGATTCACACCAAAATTACTAGGGATTTAGACCTTTGTGTGCTACACGAAATGGTGTAAATCTGATCTTAGTAAACAGATTAGAACTTTTTTTAAACTTCTTTATTGAGATATTACAATCTGTCACATTCAAGAACAATAGTAATAGTGACATAGAGAAGTACTCATTCATACCGTACAATAAATAAAAATAATAAACGACAATATAATAAGACTAAAGTAATTTGTATATAAACTAAAAGATATTAAACTAAATTAAAATTAGGCAGATGAAGGCAGATTAGAACTAAAGGTATAAAATAGGAATGGAGTAAAAGTTTTATTTGATTCTTGATTCTGATGGGACTTGATTAGTCGTAGCTTAAAAAGAAATCAAATCCAAAAGTTATTGAAATCGGTCGAAAGCGTAATAATACAGCTTTCCAACGGTCATATTAAAGTTGAATTTGAAGAAAATCTTGGGGAGTTATGAATTATTTGACGGCCGGAAAAAAAAATAACCCAAGAAAATCAATTATTAAATTTTATATATTTTTTTTATTCATATAAGAATTCGTATTTAAGAGTTTAAAAAGGCCCTAAAAACGATCTAACTTACTTTTTCAAAACGAAAACTTACTAGAAGCTTTTTGGTTTTTGTAATTTATGTTACATAGCAATTCATTCAATACAGTAGGTAATATTTTTTTCTTATTCTGCAGAAAGAAATGAATCGATTGGTATATAGTAACTTAAATTTAAAAAAAAAATAACATACATCTTGTTTAAAATTATATAAAATCATTTTTTTTTTTTTTTTTTTTTTTTTTTGGCTCTGAGGGCTCATTGAAACGAACGCCGGGATATTTGTCCAATACTTTTCCATGTAGAATTACAGAAAAAAAAACTTGATTGAAATCGATGAACCACTGACTGAAGCCTCCCCTTGTTAATAAGAAGGAAGAAATTCAAAACACACGAAGAAATAAAGTAAGCAATAAGATTATTGAGTACTAGCTTGCATTTTCAATTCGCATTCGTCGGTGAAGATTAGATTACAACAATGAAAACGCAAAGAGTCTCAAATTTTTCCGATGTATATTTGTAAAGATATTTAATGTTAAAATGGTGGAGACGGAACTTCGTCAGGTAAATAGAGACATGTCTTCCATTGGATATCTCATACTTATTAGCTAAGTACCAGGTGTTTCCTACTTCAAAACGTCCACTACAAAAATAGAGTAATGATAGTTTTGCCTGAAAACAGGCCATTAGAAAAGTAATAGAGACGAAGGTACCAACCTCTAAGATACAACTTGGGCACTAATTAATAAGTAAACTGTAATATATATTTTACAAGAAAAAAAATTAGTTAAAGTATTTAGGAACATTACATATCAATAATGAAATTAAACTAACCTTGAAATTGGATTGCTACTGAAGTCGGCCACTTGTAACGCCCGCAGGTTCTTGATATTCTCGGGTAAGTCTTGGATATCTAAAAATAAAAATAAAATGAAAATTATAAGCAAAGAAAAAATTATAATATTTTTTTATATAATGCTAAATAAGATTAGATATTCAGGTTATCAAAAAATTTGAACGAATTTCAACTATAATATTATATCATTAAGTAATTGATTTTATTACAATTGTATCAGGCAGTTAAGATGTATTTCAACGCCCACTGAAGTTGATAAAGTAAATATAATATATGATAGATGATGAAACAAAAGTTCGTAAAACCTATTTGTAAGCGATTCAAATCAGAAAAACAGTACAATTAAAGGTTGTTTTTAATCTAATAAGCTAAATAACTGAGATCAATAACAGAGCCATCAAAAAAGTATCCTAAATGAATAAAAGTATTAACTTGAATCATACGATTGAAGATAATTATGATCCTATAATTTTATGAATTAGGTTAGGAAGAGAGAGGAGAGAAATAAGGAGGAATAAAAGAAATGTATAAGGAGAGAGAAGGAAAATAAAGGGATATAGAATGCTAATGAATGTTTGAAAGAAATTGTCATAAAAGAAGAAAAAAATGAAATAAATTATAAAAAGAATACATATATAAATTGTATACAATGCTCGTATATATTGTTAATACTGTATATTGGTTTTAAAAAATTGTCTATAATGATTAATAAGTATGCTGAGTTTGTAGCAACCCAATATAATTGGACAACACCCTTTTATGAAAATAAAGTGATTCTCTCTAGTATCTTTTTTAAGAGAAAAAGAAAATAAGGAGTGAAAGCCGATAGTTTAAAAAATTTCAAGAACGAGTTCCTAGAGAAACAAAACAGGTTTTGGAGGAAATGAAAGAAGCTACACAAATAAAATAAAAATGGTTAAAGAGAAATCGGTATTTATAAGATGTCAAAAGCAATAACAATAAAATACATATTTACTAGACATATAATTAAAAAAAAAAAAAAAAAATGAAAAACGAAATACATTTAAAAGTAAAAAAACATTTAATTTCAAGAAAGTTTAGAGAATTTTGAAATTATTTGAGGCCAAAAAGTATGGATAAAAATATTTATCTTCTAAAGATAATAATGTTTCCTACATATTTATATTTTGTTATTCTGAAACTAGCACAAACATGCCTTACCTCTCAGGGTTGAAAAACAAGTAAAACATTAAATTTTAAACTAAAAGTTATTAATATAACTTAATCGTCTGATGGAAGTTATTTTTTCTGATTTTTCATTTCGATCTTTCTTCCTCCGTATTATATATACTTTAGTGAGGAAATACACTGTATTATACACCTCATTATTTTTTATTGTAAGCTAACATGATTGCCATTATTTTGATTTACTTTATTAATATAAGCAAAATTTCATATAATTTCTTATATGAGTTATACTATTTTACTGTTTTTCCTCATCTTCGTCACCATGTTTAAGTGGCGTATGTGCAAGGTTGGGCTGGTTCACGATCATATGCTGTGAATGCACTCTTACCTCACTATAACTTATATAACTTACCTCACTATACCTCATTATTTTTTATTGTAAGCTAACATGATTGCCATTATTTTGATTTACTTTATTAATATAAGCAAAATTTCATATAATTTCTTATATGAGTTATACTATTTTACTGTTTTTCCTCATCTTCGTCACCATGTTTAAGTGGCGTATGTGCAAGGTTGGGCTGGTTCACGATCATATGCTGTGAATGCACTCTTACCTCACTATAACCATGTGCATATTTTGACAGAATATTATATTACTCAAAAATAAAGAAATAAAGTAGAACTAGTATGCCTTTAAAAATATATCCTTAATAAAATATAGGACAAGATTTTTTTCAAGTTCATCATTACAGAAATGAGATTCTGAAGATGAGGAATGCTACCTAAACATTAATCAGCATTTTAAATAAATAAAATGAAGAAGTTGATTTACATACTAATTATAAATTCCAACAACCCTTGATGTTTTTTATCATTGCATTGTACACATTCATTGTCTTATTCTCGTATGTCGTTTGGTTAGTTTTTAGGAATGGCTGGCTATAAGTTAGGACGAAACGTAGGAGCACATTACAACATTATGAATTTCTTTTCTGAAGGTGCATCAAACTATCTTCCATTGATTAAATTTCATTAAATCGTACAAAATTAATGGTTTCTTTTAATGATTTAAACGTATTTTCAATACCATATTGGATAATGATAAATACACACAGTAATATCTTGGAACTAATTGTTATTTTAACCAATTAAGACGTAAAAACTGTAGGTTTTAGTAAGATTTTGTATATTGAATTGTTTATTTTTAACAATATTTTTTACCTCGTTCCTACAACATCGCCCTTAACCTAACAAGCCTCTTAAAGTGCACTCAGAGACTCCTAAAAAAAGAGGGCCAGTTATTAAAAATAGAAATTAAACAAAGAAAAAGAAAAATTGTGGTGTAAGAGAATAACCGTGAAAGAAATAAGATGATGGATAAGACTATATATAAATAAAACATAACAAAACTGAATAATTTGCACAGACTATTGATAAATGAACGAATAATAAAATAATAAAGAAATACATACAAAATATAAGTTAATGCAATGTAATATAACATGAAAGAATTAACTTTCTTATCTTAGGATATTGTAATCGAACAAGGAAAAGGAAATTAATTTTAATTTCTAAAATTACAAAAATTAAAATTTGCTGCTAATAATTCGATTTTGATGAATTAATTTATGTTTTGTAAGGAATTCAACAACTTTTCAAATATCAGTCATTAATATACCTTTTCTGGCTTATGCGGAAATAAAAATTATCTTTAAAATGTTGGCTCAATCATCGGATTTGATAAAGAATAAACGAAGATATGGTGTATCGATAAAAAAATACCTTTGAAAAATAATATATAAAGAGATGATGAAATGTCACGTTATAATACTTTTTCATATTCCAAGTTTTATATATTTTTTTCTCTTGAACAGTACTTTAAAAACTACTTTTAAAAAAAAAGATGGAATACGTTATAAAAAAAAAAGTTACAGTTATAGAACGGAGATGCTTCTTATCTGAGGCCAATAAAGAAACTTGGAGGAGGGAAGTCCTCTTTTTTCGATAGGACAGTTCGTGCCGGCTACGAGAAGCATCATATACACCCGCCATTCTGGAACACAACGGATGACAGCAAATGAACCTTTAAAGAACTCGATATGAATTTCAAATGAAAGTTGGAAGATAACAAAGCAGTTTCCACACCTGTGTTAACAAACAGGTAAAATTAGGTCACAGGAAGAGCTCCTCCAGCCTCTGGAATCCGTAAAATTACTAAAATATATATGATATATATATATATATATATATATATATATATATATATATATATATAAAATATATATTACACGAGCTGGTCCGTCCGAATAATTCCCATAGTATATTGGCCGGTGAACAATTGACAGAATTTTATGGAAATAACTTAATGAAATATATTGAGAGATGGAGGAATTAATTTTGTTTTTCAAGGTCGAATAACAATAGTTCATTCATAATAATAAACCGATAAATGTAAATACACTTTTAAAAGATAAATTAATTATGCCCCTTTATCGGCTTCCGCCATCAGAGATCTTGCAGCCCAGTACCATTCCGATTTGGACGACGTGGTATCTCTTATGATCAACAAGCCTATATGTGCTCCGGAATCACATAGGTTGAAGAGTCTGCCACTCCTATTCTATGCAGGTGGGTAGTATATAAATATAAATATATATATATATATATATATATATATATATATATATATATATATATATATATGTATTATGGTTCGATTTTCATATTTTTTTTTTTTATTTGAAAGGAATCAGGCAACCTTTTAAATAACCATGGAGATGCAATTAGTGTTGCCCAAATGCGAAACAGAGACGAGTCTTGGTCTTAGAAACTTGGTCTTGCACTAAGTGTTGGTCTTGCGCAAGAGTCTCCCAACAGTCTCTCAGTTACCTATTAGGTTATTACTAGAGAGATATTACTGTAATTTTTTGATAGGAGAAACGTAACTAAGTCTGATTGAAAAATTAGAAGAGTTGAATGCAAAAGTATATTGGTTACACCAATTCTTTATAGATAGTAACTAAAATTGTCAAATATTATTAGTATTCAAAAATCGATTTTTTTATCAGTCTTGGTCTTGGCCTTGCAACAGATAAGCGGTGCTGGTCTTGGTCTTGCAAAGTATAAGACTGGGCCTATGCGTTATCTAAAAACAATACATTTCAGGACTTACCGTCTTTGTCCATCGACTTTTTTTTAAAACCATTTGTTTCAGTATATTTTGAAATTATAATACGTCACTCCCTTTTATTTGTACCCCATTCATAAAAACCCATCGTTCATGAGAGACAAAAAATGGATCTATGTCATCGTTTTATAAACAGTGTTGATTTATAAAAGTTGTGATATCATGGATATTCTCTCCACCTTTAAATTCCGCCTGTTCAATCGCTTGCTATACATTCAGTACCCATAAAATTGTAAACAGGTTTTGTTGTAAATATGTATATAAGTTATTAATTCGTTTTAATAATTTTTATTTCACTTTTCTTACTATGTTTTCTTAATTGATTCATTAGTTAAAATGTATACTTTTTTTTATTTCTTGATTATTCTTATATACATACATCAGAGGCTCAAAAGCCCGTATTTCTGTCTTCATATGTTATTCTAAAGGGACTTGTAGATAATCAAGTATTATTATTATTGAAATGAGGACAATGATGTTCTTATGTTTTACCCCTTTTAAAATATATATAGAGATGTATACATTAAGCAATATATAACCGGAATGATTAAATATTTATAAGTGTGAAGAGTACACAATGGGCTAAGCATTAAATTAGCGGAGGAGATAGACCTTTAGGGCGAGAAGGGTTGGTAGGGTGCCAACAGTGAGCGGGACTATAGGGCAAGGCAACATGTTGCGTCCCCTAATATCAACTCGTGTTCTTGTTTGTCTAGGTCGGGGCCCAATATGCTACCCGGCTTCCTTCTCTTCGCCCAATAATAATATCTGCGAGAACTGTACGTCGGGGAACATTTAGCTTCAACAACCGATTTGGAAACATTACTATTAATTAGCAAAAATGTAAATAATAATATTACAATAAATAATTTCCATATATCATAAATAATCCTCATTTTATAAAATAAAAACACATAAGTCGTAAAAAGATTTTAAGCATAATAATATTAAATTAAAAAAATTAATATACGTAAATTAAATTAATTAAAAAAGATAATGCAATGCAGGGTAAGTGCGCACTAGATTAGATACACTTCAAGTTTAAATATTTGTTTGTTTTTTTAAGCTAAATTTTTCTTCTTTTTTAAATGTTGTTTAAATTATTATAATTTATGTATTACAGCCCTAGTTTCAATTACGTCAATTTTTAATTAAATTTGGCAGTGCCTAGTACATGTAGTAACGCAGTTTCCTTTGCATTTTGGGCTTCGTGAAAACTTGTTTTCAGCCGAACAATTATTTTAATGATATAATAATCTAAAAAAAAGAAAAAACGCCTGCCATAATGGAATATAACTGAATAAATTTATAGCAAGAAAATACCTATATTTTTATGTACTAATCTACAGTTGGCCCAAGCAATAGTAGGATCTAATGTACACCATATTGCCATTTAAAACTAGCACTGGTATGAATGATTACAATCTCCATTACATATAAAAGTGTGATATGAAACCTGTTGCCCTGACAGAACATGATAGGAGTAAGGGTATACCACACTTACTAGTCCGACTGTATTTATAGCTACTTTCATTTGGGGAAGGGGTGGTCAAGCGTACTAAAGCGTGTGGAAAATACGCGTTGCCTGGCAACCTGATAAATCGAAGATAAGGAGTTCAAATCCGGGTGCCTCAGAGACTTTTAGCTCTCGGACTTTTATTTTATTGGAAGAAAAGAAAAAAAAAATCCCTATTATCATGTCTGCCGGGAAAATTGAGATGGAACACTTTAGAACTAGTTATACATATTTCACCTCATAAGATCTTTTGAAGCTGATTTGGGAAACACTAGGTTGAGAATTCACATGTATACAAATAATAATAGATGACGAAAAAGCATAATTGTAAAAAATACATTAAATTTTAATCTGAGCTCGAAAATCATGTCACTGTGGGCGAATGTTTATAAAGTCCAGCAAAACATTTTTTAAGACTTCTACACTGCAGATGGAAACCAGGGAATGTGAAAAGAAAAAGAGAGTCGTAGTTTGTTTAATTTTTATTTTCTAGCATTATTAACAATCTGGAATTCATTGTAAAACAAAAAGGGTTGTAACAACTAGTCAAATATGTCAAAAAGGGAAGCGACATCGTTATATAAGGCTGGGGTATGTAAAAACAAAAATAATAAAACAAGAAAAAAAAAAAAAGAACAGGCATGTAAAAGGAAATATAAAACATATATCAGCTAAGTTCTTAAACTCAGGGCTATTCCATTAAAGAAATACATGAATCGATTGAATCCAGTATCTGTGGACAGCGATTTATGCTGAGTTTAGGGAAAACTTGTTGGATTATACTGGATGGTTACAAAACACTTGAAAAAAAATATTAAATTACTGGTTAACTGATTTTCAAAAAAGAAATAAATCTACCAACTGTGCATATAGTGCGTAAGGGCGAATATCAGATCAGCGGTACAACGCAATTGAAAGTTTGGTATTTTTGCAGGGGCAAGATCAATTTTCGAGTTTCAATCCATGATTCACAAAGAAATATTTATCTCTGCAATAGTCGCATAACTCAGCCTATTGGATATAAAGAAAAAAAGAAAAATTAGCTTTCTGGTGTTACCCATAAAAATATATAAAACTTCACTTCACAAAAGGTTAACTGAAAATAAATTTATAAACTAAATTGAGAAATAATAACACGGAGGTTGTAATGGGGTTGCTTCCAGTGAACCCATCAACACCAAACCCGATTGTAATTCAATCAATGAATTTAGGAATGGCTAGATGAATTTCCGATGTACATCAATGAGAAAAGCGCTGCATTTAGAGACATGCCTGTTCCTCATACGTTCTTTCTTCCTGTTATTTTAATCTAGAGTAATGAAATTTGGGAGAAAATAGGCTTCATATTTCTTGGTAGGAAAATTTCAAACGAAGATATCTAAATAAATAGAAAGTCACAAGGAATGAATGATTGGATTGGATGAAGTTAAAACAAAAATAATTGCAGGGATCCTGGAGTGTGCCTTTCACAGAACCGTTCACTTTTCCTGAGATTGAAGAACTCCATTCATAACAAGTAGTTTATTTAACCCTCGAGACCTCTATCCCGCTGACTGTTTGGCCAAGACACGGAGAGAACTCTTAGAGGAGATGTGGGGCGAAGGATGACGGATGATGCACGAGCTCCAGGTACTGGTAGAGGTACCGGTGTCCTAGATCCGGAGGACCGCTAGAGCGGCGTGAGCTGTTCTCGCTGCAGCCCGCACGATATCCGTGCATCCGCTTTCTCCTGCAGTTCAACAGTCACCGCTCAAATTACACCCCCACTCTCCGACAGATACCATCGCCATTTCTCCCTTATCGCGGATGATGGGGGCTTATATTAGTCCTTGATGAAAGGTGCTTTCGACTTGGCCCTGTCGAGCAGGCAAGGGGCTCATTTCGAAAACTAATCGTGGAATCAAGTCACGACCTTGATACATGAATCAATTTGAAATATTATAGGCATTAGAGGAGAAGATACAGCAAATATCGTTAGGGACCAGTGCCAAGGCCGCAGAGAAGTAGTAATTCATAATGTTTCAGGAGGAGAAAAACAGCATGAAAATATTGAGAAGGTGGGTGTCATTCATTATTAATCTAATCCATGAACTGATTCTGAGTTCGCAACACAGTCTTTAGCAAGGGTGCCCAGAAGGTGTTTGTATGGTGTAGCTGGTGCCATCAACATTTTTGAGGGAACACATTTAAACAGAGTTTTAAATTTTTGTGGGAGGAAGGGACATTCTAACGAGGTTAAGAAAATTAGGAGGGAGAGATATTTTTGTGGAATTTAAATTTGAAGGACAACACGAGTACTTCTTAATGGATAACATTTTTTAAAATTATACTTTCGCTTGCACTGAATTTAAAGAAGAGAAAAATAATACAATTTCTAAGGATGGAGAGGGTGCGCTACCGGCCTTATAGGAAATGGACACATATGTTCCTTAGGTACACACATTTCCTTTGGACTGGATGCGAAATACCAGCCAAATCACAATGTCGGGTGAGTCAGATCAAATCAAATCGTGTATAATACTTTTGGTCAAGAGACATTACCTCCCCATTAAGTACTGAACTGTAACCCTTCATAGCAGGGGTTACTATCCCTCAATGTCGATGGAGCATGGGGTTCTTTAAAAGAAATTTTATTGCTCTCCTCTTCTTAAAACAGTGGACGCCGAGATAGAATTTAAAAAGTTGCAAATTATTAACGATTCCACTCGTAATTCTATGTTTCCCATTGTTCCATTGCTTTAAGTTCCCTCCGAAAGTCCATAACCACGTCAAAATGTACCTCAAATTTTAATGGCGGAACTTGGCCATGTAACTCCCTTCAGGGAATCCCTGCTTCATAGGCAATAGTGATACACGAAATATATGAGCCAATATTCTACTATTGTCGAAGATGACTAGATATGCGTACCACCCAAGTTATTTTTCGGTATGTACATACTTTTCTTGGTTTAAATCAAGAAAGCTAATAGAAATTTTCCAGATACATCTAAATATAACAACAATATGCCTTAACTATTTCTTTACCAAAAATATACATTGTAAATCCCAAATCGGTTCTAAAACTGTCTGAAAATTCATAAGATAAAATAAAAAAAATGGCTTCTCTGACATATGAACCATGCATCCTACAAATCAGAATCTAGTTTATCTCTGCTCATAAACAAAAACGATAAAATCAGCAATAACAACTTCACAGACTATAATCACCTTATTAAAATTGCAAATAAAAGTATTATTACAGACAATATTAATCAATGGGAACAATAAAATTGCTTAAAGATTGTGAGAAATTAGTGCCTAGGGCTAGGATAAGTGAACATAATTGACAATAACATTATTAACGATAAACATAAAAATAATTACCAATAACCTATCACGAACTTGTCCTATATAATTGAATAGGTGGTAGTGATGAGATGAAGCAATTTATAACTAATTAATATAAAAATTAACTTTTAATGTGTCTTAATTATCTTTAATTTTCTAATTCGCAACTGTCTTTAATACCCTGATTTAATTACTAATCTATCTGTCTATCATAAACTAGTAACAATTAAGTAATGGCTTTATTATTTTTTGTTTCCTCACTACCGAAAGTAGAAAAGCAATGTATTCAGGCAAAAGTTAAAAAAAAAAAATTGTGTTCAAAATCGGCAATTTCCACTCGCGTTTTACGTTTAAGACATCAAGTATCAAATTTGGCATCTTTCTTCAACAGCAGCTCAGTTGCAAAACTGCACTGTATATGTGTTATTGTTTCAAAAGATTCAATTACCTTTCTTCGTAAGGAATTAAGGTCAATGACCGGACTTGCTCAATCATATCCCATATCCCAATCAATGGATTGGCTGTGCAGGACCAGTGGCTTGGCCTGCAACGCTCTCGAGATCTGATTTTTTTATTTGGGTTGACATTAAACAAAAAGTCTATGCAAATTCGGTCAATGACTGTAATTCCTTACGAAGGAAGGTAATTGAATCTTGTGAAATAATAACACATACCCAATGCCGTTCTGCTACTGCGGCTGTTGAAGAAAGATGCCGAGGCTGTCTTAATACTCAAGGAAATCACATTGAACAACATTTAATATGAATGTTAAAGTTTACATTTAATTAATAAAGTAGTTAGAACAAATGGATAGATTTTATTTATTTCTTATAGCGTAAATAATTCATAACAACGAAAATCTTTAGGTGTGAATATCTCCTAAACAAAACGTTTGCGGACATATCTTCAGAGGATTTTTTTCTTGTTTTGAGATCCTTAGTCCATTTTTGCAGTTTGGCCACTTAACCCTGAAACACCCTGTATATGCGCAAACGTGTTTTCCTTATACCTCCATATTTCTAAAACCGCAAGTTCGATTTGGCTCAAACTTGGAAGAAAGTTAGGAATTGGATAACAGATAATCAACTATGTATAAATTTTATAAAATTCTATCCACTCCTTCCAAAAAAAAAAAAAAAAAAAATCCACTTTCAGATCAGGAAATGTATTATTTGACACGCTTATAATTTGAAAACGGCTCGTTCGATTTGATCCGAACTTGGAAGAAATTTGGAGAATAGTCTAGAAATTTCCTAGTAGTCACACAGAACAGAACGAACATGATTTATTTCTATTAGGTTGGATGATGAAATCGGAAATACCGGCATTATTTGTTTTCTGATAAGATATAAATACATTCTCGATAGCGAGCAACAAATTCACCAATACGTACTTACTAAAATTACAAATAACTTGATGAATTACAAAATTTATAGTAGATTTTAAAAACATCGAGCATACTGTTGTATTTCCATGATGAGTTTTTTGGGCTGTTTGTAAGCGTAAGGTAGCACTGTTTCTATACGAATTATTGTTTAGGGAGGTGATTCGGCCAAGATCAATCTCAACCACCAGGTTATTCCACTTAGCACCGGCTGGATGTTCCGTAAACCGAAAAGGTTTCCATGTAGATTCAAGGCTAATATTAAAAACGTATCTGTCAATATAAACTAGTAATTTAAATAAGGAGCTTGCTACCAAATATAGATATATATCCACATATCCATAAATCTCTACTTAAGCAGTTTTGATAAGAAAATCGACAAAACTTGTTCTAATATACTAAAAATTCAATAATTAATAAATAAAAAAATTATCTAGCGATAAGAACAGGCAGTTTCGGGATATCTACCAAACTTCCGAAATCCTAGTTTAGATCTCAAATGAAGATGTCAATTTATAGTAGCAATCTCCAAATGAAATCCTTCTAATTTCTTTTCTTTTTACTTTACTAGATTCAGCTATTTCATATAGTGAGAAAGATATAATATTTTATTTTAGATATCTACAAATATATTCGTATAGTATATATGTATCATGAATCTAGTATTATTCCTCTCTTGTGTATACACACACACATACAAACATATGTCATAAAGAACAATCCTTCCAGAGCTTTAATTATATGATAGTAAGGATTTTGCAAATATTTTTTTAAAGAATATACTTGAAACTCAAATTGTATTATATTGTAATATTATATAATTGTATTGTATTATAAAAACTCAAATTGGTTATATCTTTTCAAAATTCACACAGAGTATAAGAAAGAATGCAGAGTATAAGGAATCTACAAAATGATTTACAGATTTGTTAGTACAATTCCAATCTTACATGATTGGGCTGTATGTAGTATGATTTAAAAGATGTTGTTGTTTGAAGTTGATGAAACTGAGACTTTAGGGAAATTCGATGCTTTTTCAATTAAAATTTAGGAGTAAAATAAAATCAGCAGATGAAGAGGTATGTCTTACGTCATTACTAATTAGCGAACGCCCCCGATTGAAGATGATGTCAGACAGCTCGGAATCGAATGCTGACGATATCACTGAACCTGGATACATTACTCATGGAGGCTGGTTGGAATACGCGGTTGTTAACAATATAAATGAGTCCTGAAAGGAGCAATAGCCTAGTCCTGAAAGGCAGGCAGGATTGGAGAAGCGGGACCACTGAGGGAACACAATGAACAATGGGGAAGTAGATAATAAATCTTAGGAGAGATGGTCTACATTGAGGCTGCCTGCCTCCTTAGCCGCTCCGAGCTCGGATAATCAAATGCCATATTCTAAAGGAATCTTAAGTTCAAAAGGAGATTAATAGTTAATTTAAGGAGGGGTCTTATATAAAATAATATTATTACGACAAGGCTAAATAATAACGAAAAAAATGTGTTATTATGGAACACCTTATAGGTAAGGGAGTTAACAGGATCTGCCTGGGCCTCTAATGTGGCTGGTTCATATGCTACCCAATTCACATGTTGAAAAGTTCATATATATATAATAAGAGTAACATCGAGCTAATTAATAATAATTAAGGTGTAAACAAATTTAATACAGTACTTAAATAATTAAAAAAACCTGTACCACTACACTCCAAGAAGGGTCTGGGGTTCAGTAGTATTTAGGGAAAGCACTGTTTCTAGGTCCACGGTTGTGCAAGGAGATGATTTGACCGGGATCACGCTCAACCGCCAGGTTTTCCCACTTAATTAATTATTTAATTATTGTACCCACATTATAGAGGCTGGGTGTGCCCCAAGGAGGGACTCCTGACCCAAGGTCGCCCCACGGCCAATGAAACAGATAAATAAATTTTCTGCCATGAGCCGGGGTTCGAACTCGGGACCTTTGCATTGGAAGCTCAGTGCCCTACCACTGAGCCACCCC